TTATATAGATATACATACTAGACGTAGAATTACGTTGTTATATAGATATACATACTAGACGTAGATAGACTTATATGATTATACATACTATACGTAGACTTACATCCTATATTTTACAATCAGCATGTATCAAATCTTTCGCTGTTTGCTTCTCGCTGACCAATTGTACATTTCCATCTTCATAATAATGTATTTGTATTTTGAGGCTATCTCTCAATTCGGCGTTTGCTGAATTTGGAGTAAAACTTACAGTCTATATCGAACCAGCAACCGTTCCAGAAGTTTTTAGGTTGAAACTGATGATCTTCTATGCATTAATATTATTTTTCACTTCACTCTATCTGTGTGCAAAGAAAAGAACAGAATTGTAATAATATTTAATTTAATTTACATATCTGGTTTTATATATGCTAATCTATGTTTTATATATGCTACTTAATTGTACTTACTGTCTGTTACTGCCAGATCTCTATAACCCAATATGTTACGCTGTTTAGCAAAGTTCTTCAGCTGGGATTGCATACGGTTTTATACAAAAAGATCCCAGCTGAAAGTATACCAGTCTTCTCGAAAAGATTGATCCTGCAAATAAGCGCTATAATTTAGACAATATTCAGATATAATCAAGAAATAATATGTATATTTATAAAACAATAAATAAACATATATAAGCAGATATATATGCGAAATTTTCAATTTACTTACTCGATAGGACCAAATATATATTTTCTGCAACAGATTGAAATATAACTTTATAACCTCAACCTTATTATATCTTGACGTCGCGATGCTACCGCGTACCGTGACTACCGCGTCGCTTGATACGTATCCATAGACATAGTGTATCTAGACCGAGTGTTGAGGAGTGGGGGCCAAGGTGCACGTAGAAAAGGACATACTCTGTTCCGTGCCCCTTGCGTTCTCTCTCACTCGCATGTAGCATAGCGAAAGAGTACGCTATGCTACGTCCGAGCGAGAGAGAACGCAAGGGGCACGAAACAGAGTATGTTCTTTTCTACATGCATCTTTACCCCCACTCCTTAAATAAAGGCAAACGCTCGGATTAGATATACTATGTCTATGGGTATTAGCATAGACATAGTATATCTAGACCGAGCGTTTGCCTTCTTATTAGACGTAAAACTCCGGATAAGCTATTGGTAGCGTCGTGGCCCCTGTACATAAGCAACATAGGCAAACCGTTGACAAGCTGAAACGTTTTTTTTTATATACTTGGCGTCGCGACGCTACCGCGTCGCTTGATATATATATAGTAGACGTAGTGTGAGTAGCGTAGTGTGAGTGCCGGTTGTGTCTTGCGTGATTCGATTTATCTCACTGTGCCTCTCGAACTCCGGAAATCTCTCCTCTTAACGTTGTTGTCGAAAATCTTCGGACAAGAGGAGGGTATCTCTGTGGACCCGACATCCTCCAAAGAGGACTCCTCAAGTCCCTGCCTAAATCCTCTCATCTCAAAATGTTCCACGAATCCAATCGTGAACAGCTCTCGCTGAACACAACAAATACAAAACCAAATAACACACTTATCAACAAAACAAATATCATAATAATCACACATATAATAATCAATGCTTTAACATGTCCCTCATAAAAAAAATCTAAACATTATTCCTTATTGGGTTCCGATAACTTTCCTAACTAAAAATCTGTCTCTCATAAAATGGAGCTATCCTATCTATCAGCACGAACAACTTTACTCCTATGCCTATTCGATTTCCGAATACCAAAAACAACATCACTAAGTTTTTTCACTATTTTATAGGGACCTTCCCAATTAATCTGTAATTTAGGAGTCCTTCCTTTAATCCTCCTAGGGTTACAGAACCAAACATTTTGACCAACATCAAAATAAATTTGACGAGCTCTCTGATCATAACGCGCCTTTGACCGAAATGATCTAAGATCTAAACGCTGTCGAGTATCTCTATGAATATCCTCAAATGTCTTGCTGAAAACAATAACATCATTTAAATAAACTAAACAAATTTTAAATAAAATTTCTCGCAAAACTCTTTCCATTAACCGCTCAAAAGTCGCTGGAGCGTTACACAAACCGAATGGCATTACGGTAAACTGCCATAACCCATTTCCTATAGTAAATGCCGTTTTTTCCCTATCCTCAGATCGAACTTTTATCTGCCAGTACCCGCTTTTCAAATCCAGAGTAGAAAACCAAGAATTATCTGACAAACGATCCAAGATATCTTCAATGCGTGGCAGTGGATAAGAGTCCTTGACTGTAATAGCATTTAATTTCCTGTAATCTACACAAAATCTTAACGAACCGTCCTTTTTCTTTACTAATACTACAGGAGAAACCCACGGACTCTGAGATTCTTCTATCACCCCTTGTGATTTCATTTCTTGAATAATTTAATCCACCTTTCCTATGAGATGTATAGGAACTCGACGTGGAGCTTGCTTAATAGGCACAGAATCTTTAATTTTAATACTGTGCTCCACAACTCCACAATTTCCTGCAGTAATCTCCTCCAAGAATACATCCTGAAATTCATTTAAGAATTCAGCAAAAATATCCTTCTGCTCAGAATTCAAATTCCCCGAATTCTCCTCAAAAAGTTCCTTCAAGAAATTAGGAACATCTTTTGTTGAATCTATACGAGAACAAGAAAATTCCCCACAATTCTGTCGTACAAAATTTCCGAAATCTGAATCAAAAACTCTTTCCAAATTAATCATCCCAAGGAAATCAGTACCAAGAATACAATCATCCGAAATTTTAGCTACTAACATAGGAACGTCCAAAGAATATTTTCCCAATTCTACCTTTACAACGACTTTATAAGAAATTTTTACCGTTTCCCCTGTCGGATACCTTAAATTACAATAATTTTCATCAACCTTCCGACTAAGCCCCTCGACCAATCTCTCATTTAAAATAAAAATATCGGAACCCGTATCAATTTTGAACATACAAAATTTTCCTTCAATTTTTCCCCCATAACTAAACAAATTTTTGATAATCTTATTTACAGAAGGACATTTATAAATCACTTTCGAGGCATTAACTTTATTAGCTGAACTCGCCCCGAAAAGCTCGACTAAACCTTGTTTTCCTCGCTTCTTAAAGCGGGACATTCCGATCGAAAGTGTTCCTGCGCTCCACATTGCCAACACTCTTTATTCTGCACAAAATTTCTTCCAGCTTTATTAAAATATTTACTTTTCTCAAAATTTTTACTTTCTTCCATTTTCTTTGTATTTTTATTATTTTTGTCATACATAAATTTATTTTTTCCATTTTTAAATTTAAAATTATTTCTTTCATCTTCTTTTTTGTAAAAACTATTCTCTTGTATAACTTTAACTGCCATAGCCCTCTCTATAGCCAATTTTAAAGATGTTACATTTTCCAATTGAAGTGTGCGCTTAATAAATCCATCTGATAGCGCCGCGATAAATTGCGCGCAAGCAATTTTATCCCTTACTTCCTGTGTACATTCGGGATAAGCAAATCGCGACAATCGTTCTAAATCTGCGCCCAGTGTCGCTAAATTCTCTGAATCTTTTTGCTTTCTATTGGAAAACTGGGTGTAATATGTTTGGGTTACACATCCTTCCCCAAAACGCAATTCTAACTTCGATTTTAACTCTGTTTATAACCACATTCATTTAAATTCAAATTTCCGTATTCAGTATGCCCCTCTCTATTATCTCTATTATAAGAATGACTTAGCTGGCTATGGCTATCGTTGTTATCCAGCTGTCGTATCCTCTCCTCCATTCTGCGAAGCATTTCCTCACGCTGTTGCAGCTGCGCTTCATAATTAGCTTGCTGCTGTAACCGTTCCTCTCGGAGCCGCCGAATCTCCCCCAACGCAGATTGGAGTGTGATCGCCTCTAATGTCAGTCCTGATGCTGTCGCTTCTGGAGAAGTTCAAAGCGAAGTCGCAGCTCGTTTCCGCGTCACAACCCCAGATGTAAGATCTTGTTGCTATTCCGACGCCATAGCTCGTTTTGCGCTCTTTCAAAATTGTTACGTTGTCCAGCTCGATCCCGGACGAGCCCCCAAAATGTTGCGTCCGCGGATCGGAATCGAGATAAATCGAATCACGCAAAACACAACCGGCACTCACACTCCGCGTCGTAAATAATAACTCTCGTTATGAAAGAACAAGAACTTTAATGAAACAGAACTATGTAACTATTCACAGAAATAGAGAACAGAGAATATCGTTAATAATCTTAAACACGTCCGCGCGGATTGACATCCGTCACGAAACTCAAGATGGCCGATCTAAAACAACATGTCCGCCGTTGTTTAACAGCAAACTCCCCAGCAACGTGCTTAGAGACGATCTCTCGAAGACGGGCATAATCCAGGGATGCAACAATATATATCAAATAATGGTGTAATTGTATAAATATGCTGTTATAATTGTGAAATTTGTGAAAGATCTTTTGGAATCTGGAAATTCGATAAAAAACTGTTGCATAAAATAAAAAAAAATTAATCGCGTACGATTTTCTATTAAATAAAAAATACTTTTTTCAAATTTAATTTCTCATTTTATACGAAATACATAAAAACTTGAAATGTATATATAAAAACAATATCAAATAGAATGCAAGAATGCTTTGTGATGAATAAATATTTTGTGATAACCCGATAATACAGTTTTGTACAGTGATTATACTGAGTGAGATATATTTTTGAGATATATTTTTTCATTTAATAAAACGTCATCTTTATTTTTTGGCATTTTGATCTATTTTTAATTTAAATTGTTAAATAGTTTAGTTTTACAATGTAAAAAAATTTTGTTTTTTTTGTGAGAAAATTATATATTCACCTCGGAATCAGACCTTCTCTTGCGTCATTCGTATCATATTTGACAATAAACTGAAGCATTCTATATATCCCGCGGAAAATTTTTTCTAACTGTAGAGATGAGAAAGAAGTGTCTCGCCTTTAAAAAATGTAATCAGTTTTTTTATTTCTGACGTACAATTTGTCGATAGTCGTACTTGAATTAATTCGAGTTAACGACTTATCAAATATTTTCAATGTTGCGCCGCTAGAATGAAATGTAATTTCGTCATGCGCCTTATAATCAGTATACATATATGTGCCGTGACAAAAATATGTTAATTATATATGAATTTTGCAGTCGCCGATCTGCGTTTGTATTCGAAAAAGATGCAGATGCAGAGGAAGAAGACGCTCATGGGTAAGATGGGACACAACCATGACATTACCTTCATGCCTCGCGATTTCAATTACGACAATCATCATTACCAGTATCTCAAGTACACTAAACGCGGCAAAGTAAGTCATTAATTTTTTACGCCGCATTTTTGTTGTAATCGGCAGTGAAAATATTACATAGAATATTTACTTTTATTTGTATTTTTGAATGAAAATGTGTTTTCACTTACATATGTGTTATCGTGTATATGTGTACAATATTTATTTTATTTTATTTTATTATAATAATAGCATTAATATGTTGTGTGTATATGCGCGCGCACGTGTGTGTTCAATGATGCTATTATTATACATAATAAAATAAAATAAATATTGTACACACATACCTGACAACACATATGTGAAAACACATTTTCATTCAAAAATACAAATGAAAGTAAGTATTCTATGATATATATGTAAGAGCTTTATATCTATGATTATTATATTCTCTGATACATAACTAACTGGGATCTGATAAGTATATGTTATAATTGTTTTTATATACACCCGTGTATTTCCTTTTTAATATATATTACACAAAAAAATAGAGGATCTTTCATACGCTAAAAGTTGGTTATTTACAAATCGCTGAAACTCGGTGAAAAATCACTATAGTCAAAAAATTGAAAAGCATTTTAAAACTTGAATTTTCAACTTTAACATGCTATTGGTAGTTTAAAACATTTTTTTTCTTTCTTCTGTGCTTTAGAAAAGAACACATTGTTTTGTTTCTTAAAATTATGTATTTATTAATTATTTTTGATTCTGCAGTTCGATAAAATAATTTCTATCAAAAAATTTAAGTCAAGTTCTATAAATTATAAAGCACAAAACAAGAAAGATAAAAAAAATTTTTTAAACAAAAGAAATTGAAATTTTAATAATTTAAAAATATATAGTATATGTATGTTACCGTAACATTAGAACATATTGTGGGGTAGACCTCGCTTCGCGTTATAAAGTATATGCGTGGACACAGTGGATTCCGTCCCACCTACGGGGGGGCTCCACTTCCGGAAGATATAACCCAATCCAAACCTATTTTCAATTTTAAAAGTAAAATTGAAGACATGACTCAGAAATTCATGTAGTAGCATATTGAAACCTGTTAACGAACTGCGAGAAATAGGTGAAACCGATTATTGATAAAATATCTATGATCATGTACCTATCCCGTAAATGTAAACAAATACTTCCTCCATGTCTACCCTACAACAAATACAACGTACACAAACTTTACTTTTCCTAATATTACTTTATAATATCCGAGAAAAAGCATTAAAACTGTGAAACTTTAATTTGTTATATCTCCTAAACCAACTCCGACCGCCACTTGATTCTTGCGAGGAATTACTTAGAAACCTCCCGCCTACAACATATCTAAGTAGCGATTAAATGGGTGAGGTGTGACCTTTTATGCATATTTACCATATATATATGGTAAATATACATAAAAGGCCCGACAAGGCACGTAGAAGAAGAAGTATATACAGGGTGTCCTAGACCACCCGTACACCCCTTTTCTTTCAAAAACTAAGCATTTTAGAGAAAAACGTTTTGAACAAAAATTGTATGGTTTTGAGGGGAACATAAGATGGTGTCATTGGTTCAACCTTGGATGGCATCGTTAAGGTCAAGTCGGACACCTTTAATTTCTTAAATGGAATCCCCTATTTTTTATTGCATATTCTTATAGCTTATCCCGACAGCTTTTCAAAACACTATAATAAAGTATTTTTTCATTAAGTACTTTTTGAGTTATTTTATATTTTAATCTGACACATAATTTGATATAAAAAATAAAATATCTCGTAAAATATTTAGTTTTCGATAATCATACCGTAATACTTTTATGTACAGAATAATAAAACAAATCAATTGCTATAAAAAAAACAAATAATTGTTTAAAAAAAATACATTGTAAATAATTACACTTTTTCTTAAAAATATTACGGTCAGATTATCGAAAACTAAATATTTTACGAGATATTTTATTTTTTATGTCCAAGATTATGTCCAGATTGCCTCGGTTATCGCCGAGATGCAATTCCACGTAAGATGTTATTCCAACGCTGATTCCAATATCCAAATATTTATAAGCAGTACGCGTCAAAGCAAATCTGCGTACCAAAATACGTAGTATACAACGAGGTTTATCACATCTGAAAAAATATTTTAAAAAAATATGAAATAGTATGGAAAAAACATATATGAAAAATATATATATGTATGAAACATTTGTGATACTTACAAATCAAGTGGTTTCTTATTGAAGTATCCATTCGCGTTATTGCTATCTGTTAACGCGTACTGCGCATTCCAGCCGGCGTTCCTCATAATCACGGTTTTATCGGATGATATCGTTACATAGTTCTTGAGTGTGCTAGTTATTCCCACATTTCTGTTACGATCAATCTCCACACCGTCGAGTTCGTATCGGATCTCATCAAACATAAACGCGACGCAATTATTTCCCAGTACCACATTAGATCCTTCAGCTGGTTTGTTTATCTTTAGTTTTCCCTCGATGTATAAGGGGAAACGTGATGCGATGGGAGATTATTACTCTGAAAATTTAGGAGAAGGGGAAATGGTCAACGTATGATGCGATGAGAGATTATTGCGATTATTGCTGATATTAGCGAATGTTGACGTTGTTGTCGCTGGCCTCGTGTTATCTCTCGCGTCTTTCGCTCCGCTCAACACGAGCATCTCATGTATCGCACGCTAATTTTGTCGCCGTCGTACGTGCAATCTGATGGTGATCTCTTCTCCTCGAAAATCGAGCAATCGTCCGTCTTGATCCGCGATGCGTATCGTTAGATCCGTAATGCTATGCTCCGCGATCGGCAGGTAAATGATCTGCGCCGGCGTTTCCGATATCTTATATCCCGGCGGCACGCTCGGTGAAAATTCATGTATCGTATCGTTTCCGTAATGCTCCGCGCGATGATCGGCAGGTAAATGATCTGCGCCGGCGTTTCCGATATCTTATATCCCGGCGGCACACTACT